TGACCTGGAGGAGGCAGATTGGCAGCTTTGCACAAGCTAGGCTGCCCTGGGGGTACCGGGTCATGTGTCAAGGAAGAGGGGGCTGGGGGACCCAGGCTGACTTAGCTCTGTTTGGGGGCCTCAGCTAAGGAGAAGCAGCGGAGGCAGGTCCTGGGGGGCAGGTGGGGCCAGGCAGGAGCACTGTGTAGATCTAGGGGCTCTATCTGCCATTTTCTGGTTATTAGGGCCCGGGTGGGTAACAATAGACTCAGGAAGGAGGCAGGAGACCTCCCGGGACATCAAGTATCTGTGTCCCTTTTCTGGGCCAGGATTGGCAAAAATGGGAGGTAGGAACCTGGGATACACTTGAGACTGCCAGGGGAAAAGCGCCTGACATATCTTTGTCCACGTGTGTGCCTGAGAACCAGTGCGACCCTGAGCAGGGCCCAGCCTTGGGCTGACTGTGTATGGATGATGAGAGAGCACGTGTGTGTCATTGCATCTTCATGTTTCCGTGGTGTGACTTGTCTGTCTGCTGTGTCTCTGACAGTCTGTTACTGGGTGGCTCTGTGTTTGTTTTTCTGTCTGGCCATGTGTCTCCGTGAGTGTCTGCATTTTTGTGCCCATGGGACCCCGTGGGTCTGTGTTGGGATGTGTCTGGGTGACGCAGCGGTATTTGCGGGCCCGTGGGCCCGTGGACTGGTTTGGCCTAGTTTGGGGGTGACTCACAGGTAAGCAAGGAGAATCCAAGACTTGTTGGGTTAGACCAGGCTCTTTCCCACACTCCCCCCGCCCCCTCCTCAGCCTCTCCCTTCCCAGCTCCACACACCTAGTTACGAGGTCGCAGGTCACCGTCAACAAATCCTCTTCTGGTTTGTGGCCCTGGGGAAGAGAAGCACTGCTGCCAGCTTGGGAGAGGTGTCCTGGCTCACTGGGGTGTGTCTTCAGAGCAAAGACAAAAGCAAGGAGCTATAGGCAGGCCAATTCCATTCTCATTTTGAAGAACATTCTAGCAGTCATGATTATCCAGGCAGGGACCAGTTGTCAAATGGTGACTTCCCTGTCCCTAGAGGTATGCAAGGGGAAGCAAATAACCAAATGCCTGTGGAATGAGTGGCTGTCAGGGGTGTTGGCTGGGGCTGGGTCGAGAAAGGCTTTGAATTCTGATTGTTGGGAGGTCATTAACAAGATCTGATTAGCAATGGCTTTTCCTATTGCTCTGCTGAAGTTTATGGAGCTTCCAAATATGGTTCTTTGATTCCTGGGCTCCTAAATAGAGTTTTCCTGTAATAGTTGCCTTTGGATGAACCTAACTTGGCCTAGCAGACCACTCTAAGCAACTGCCATGAAGTGAATGGACTCTTAGAACCTAGACATCTCCGTACTATCAAACCTGTCAGGGAGAGGGAGCAGCACTGACTGGTGGTTGTTATTCTTGTCATTCAGAAACGGACTAGGTGCTGGAGAGGCAGCTCAGCCACTGAGCACATGATCTGAAGGCAAGAGGCCCATATTTCAATCCCCAACACTGCATGCTCCCCTGAGCACTACTGGGAATAATCCCTGAGCACTGCTGGCTGTGGCCCCCAAATAAATAAACCCCTACCCCCCAAAACAAAAATGGAGTGGAGGTTCGGAGTGGGGGACTATCAAGAGGGTGCAGCTTCATGTTGGGGAATACTAGCTCAGAGGACAGGGCTTTGTTGGAAGAAAGGGATTGTCAGTGGGCAGGGGGCATGGTTCACAGGGTGGGCGCATGTGCTTGGCATCCAGGAGCACTAGGCTTGATCCCTGGCACAATAGGGAACTCCAAGCATCACAAGGAATGGCCCCTCCAGCCAGGAATAGCCCCTGATCACTGCTGGGTGTGACTCCCCCAAACAGTGGGGGGTGTTTAGTGGGGATGAAGGGGAGGGTTGGGGGGGTCTCAGGAAAGTTCCACGAGCCAGGGCCACATGTAACTCCTGTTCTGAAACTCTGGGGATGGTCCCCATACTCAAGGTTTTGTTAGGTTCCTCAGACCCTGTCCCCACATATGTTCTGGCTCTTGTGGTCCCAAAGGCAGGTCAGGCTTCGCTGGGCCTCAGTATCTTTCATCTCTGTCCCTCGTAAAACTTGAGTCACTGCTGGGGCCACAGGACAGGGTCAAAGTACTGGGTTCTGCCAGCTACTCAGGAGGCAGGAAGCTAGAGATGGGAGGAGATGAGGGTAGTGGCTTCATTCCTGACTAAGTTCCCTCATCATGATCTGGGGGCATCCTATGGGCTGGAGGAGTCTATGTAAGTTTGACTGCCCTGAGGCTGGGGATGAGTAACCACTTTTGGGGTTTTTGGGGGTCTGAGAAGAAAATTACCGTTGTGTGTGTGGCCTGAATGTTGGAGTGAGAAAGTTGGAGGCTAGACTGCTGTGTGTTTGCTGACAGGACCCCTCCAAACCAGAGCACCCCGCCACCTACACTAGGGAGAAACTAGGGAGATGGGATCAGCCACACTCATATATGGTCCCAAGGGCCAATTCCTGGCTCTGTACCCTGGGCTCACTTGTGGGGATGCTTGGGCAACCATATATGGTGCCGGGGATCAAACTGGCATCATGTATGCAACGCAAGACAAAGCGAGAACCTTACCTCTATATTATTTTTCTGGCTCTGGGAAATTTTTTTTTCTTTTGGTTTTTGGGCTATACTTGACTTTGCTCAGAGCTTACTCCAGGCTCTGTTCAGGGATCATTCTTGGTATGTTTGGAAGCCCATATATGTGCCAGGGGTGGAACCAGGACCATGCAAGGAACCAGGACCATGCAAGGAAGGTGTCCCACTCACTGGACTATCTCTCCAGCCCCAGGGCAACTTTCTTAACCTCTCTGAAACTTCCCCCTGGTGTATATTTATAACTCTCAGTAATATTTATAACTTAAAAACTTACAAGTTGATAATTTATTCCTTATGAGGTATCAAACAGTCTTCCCTTGAAAATTCGAGAGGCTAAGGAATGAAATAGTACAGCGGGTAGGGCGTTCGCCTTACAAGCGGCCAACATGGCCGACCCGAGTTCGATTCCTCCGCCCCTCTCGGAGAGCCCGGGAAGCTACTGAGAGTATCTGATATGCCAGACACAGTAACAACAAAGTCTCCAATGGAGACGTTACTGGGCCCGCTCGAGCAAATCGACGATCAACGGGAGGGCCTTTACCTTTACCTTTACCTCGAGCAAAGGAATGAAAAGCTCCTAGCCCCAGCAAAGCGAGGCTTCAGCAGATGGTAGCTGGCATTTAACAGTCATTGCAGCATGTTCACCAGCGAGCTTCTAGGTGACTGCGACGTCTTCTTGGGCCTCTATTATTACTGTTCCCCATTTAGCAAGACCCCTGTTGCCTCAAGGGCAGGTGGGAAGGGCAAAGAGGGAAGGTAGGATGAGTTGTGTGATGAGATCCCGGTATGGTAGGATGTGCTGAGTGAGGGAGTAGGAGCGGGAGTGATAGTACAGTACGTAGAGCACTTGATTTGCATATGGCTGACCCAGGTTCGATCCATAGCACCTTATATGGTCCTCTGAGTCCCCCAGGAGTGATCTCTGAGCAGAGAGAACCAGGAGTCAGCTCTGAACACTGCCAGTGTGTCTCTAAAATAAAAACAAAGCCAGAGGAGGAGACAGGAGAGAATATGCCTGGATGTAGATTCGACTGTAAATTCTTTTTTTGTTGTTTTGTTTTTGGGCTATACTTGGTGATGCTCAGGGGTTATTTCTGGCCCTGAACTCACTCCTGGTGAGTTTGGAGGACCTATATGGGATGCTGGGGATCAAACCTGAGTCTGCTGCATGCAAGGCAAGGCAAGCACCCTACCTAATGTCCTATCTTTTTTTTTCTTTTCTTTTTTGGGTCACACCTGGCGATGCACAGGGGTTACTCCTGTCTCATGCACTCAGGTATTAATTCTGACTGTGCTCAGGGGACCATATGAGATGCTGGGAATCGAACCTGGGTTGGCTGCGTGCAAGGCAAACACCCTACCCACTGTGCTATTGCTCCAGCTCCTAATGTACTATCTGTGTCCCAATATGTTCCCTTTTTTTGGGGGGGGGAGTGGGGAAAGCCATACTTAGTGGTGCTCAGGGTTTATTCCTGGCTCTGTTCTCAGGGATCACTCTGGAAGGGCTCTGGGGACCATATGGGGTTCTGGGGGATGAATTTGGGTAAGCAGCATGCAAGGCAAGCGTCTACCCCGTTGGACTATCTCTCCAGCCCTCAACTGTAAATTCTAAGCACTGATTGAACTTAATAGCAGCCTCTCCTGGTGGTCTCTGCCGATCCTGTTTCTTCCTGAGGACTCCAAGGGAGAGAATGCCAGAGGACCGCAGGAAGGAGAGTGGGGTGAGGTCCAGAGTGCAGCTCCCCAGGGCTCCTCTCAGACCAGCAGGTGCACCCAAACATGCCTGGGCTGTGCTGTGCTGTGCCTGCATCCCACGGCTGACCAGGTGCACTGGTGCGTGGAGGCAGCTTGCATTTATCCTGAATGGGATCCTTCAGGTGACTGTCCACAGATTCTCAGAGCAGCAGTGTTAGAGTGAGGAGTGGACCTGCAGGAGAGAAGAGGCCAGCTCCATGTCAGCCAACCAGTGAACGACAAGGCCAGAGAGAACCAGTTTAGTAGGAGGTCAACCTCCTTATGTTAAGGAGCAGGGGCCAGGAGCAGCCTGGGCTTTCACCTTTCCCTCTCCTCTGGGATCTGGGGCTCCTGGGGATCAGGGGGTCACCAGCCAAGAAATGCACCTCTCTTCTTGGCTCAGGCCTCTACCACATCCTCCCTGAGGGGGACCCATGAAAGTAAGGAGCAGACAGATGATGAAGCAGGAGGAACCTGTGATGTGTCTGAGCTTTCCCTGTCCTGACGGGGGCAAGGGCAGATATTCTGCTTGTGGAGAATCACCCCCTGTCCTCGTTTCTCCCCTTCTAGCACCGTCTGCAGGCAGCTGGACAGCAGCGAGCCCAGGAACCCGCAGGACAGGCTGCGGGGGCCCGACATGGAGGAGGCCGGAGGGCCCCCGGCTCGGGCTGAGGCCCGCGTGGTGAGCGCCACGCTGATGTGGAGACAGCGCAGCCCTGCCCAGGACGAGGTCAGACATCACTTCCACAAGGTGTCCCTGGTGTCCGGCACCCGGGCGGACACCTCCCGAGAGGAGCTGCTCAGCCACCGGAGAGAAGAGGTCAATGGTTTTGCCGTCTGGGAAGAGGAGACAGCAGCTTACCAGGCTTCCCGGGATGGGGCAGCCTCCAAGAACTTCCAAAGCCACGGACCCATCTTTTCCAAGAAGTTCGCCCCACTGCCCAAGGAGAAAAGGCCGCCGGGGAGGCCGGGGGAGGCCGTGGACCGGGTTGATGGCAGGGTCCAAGAAGCCCGAACCGAGTCCTCCAGCGCAGCGTCGCTGGCCAGGACAGAGCTTCTGGTTCCACTGCCAGGCCCCCGGGAGCCGAGCCCCCACCCAGGCGGGAGTCTGCTCAGCGGAAGCCGCCGGGAGGAGCGTCGAGTCACGCGCACCGTGCGGACCACTGTGGTGATGGGGGGGCAGGTGGAGCGTCGTGTGAGCAGCTCAGTGACCTCGGTGTCCCCTGCGGCAGAGGCCCTGCCGCGGGGCCGCAATACTGTCCGCGCTGTCCGGGCAGTGGTGGTGAACCCCTCTTCGGAGGGGGTCCCTAGCCGCAGCCAGGCCCTGCAGCTGCTCAGCAGCCTGGTTCCTGCTGAACGGGGCTCCCCTGTCGGCCGCCATGCCGGGCTCCCCGCTGCCAGGCCGGGCCAGCTGCCTGAACGGGGGACAGCGGAGTCAAAGGACAACTCTTCCCGGCCATCTGCGGGGACCCCAGAGGGTTCGCGCCCAACTCAGGACCGGGAGATCCCTATTGCCCGCCCACACCGAGATCCCAGCAAATCCTCAGATCCTGCAGCATCTGAGGCCTCCAGAGTGCCGGGGGCGGCCCAGCCTCATCTGGCAGCACCCTTCTCGCCCAGATTCCCACACCGTCCCCTCTCCCTGGGCCTGGCCCAGCCCCCAGAGCAGCTGGCGGTTTTCCCTCACTCCAGGCCTCAGTTCACTCTGGAGCCAAGGGCCCCCCAAGCTCTGTCCTCTGGGGGCAGGGAAGGACTCACGGATTCCTCCGCTGCCACAGAGGTGCCCACTATGAAGGACAAGCCCTCTGCTCTTCCCGGGAGGCCCTTGGCTCCATCCCCTACAGGAAGTCAGGCTCTCCCTAGCCCAGGAGGCCTCTCTGCTCCTTCCTCCCCGCGGGATAAGGCGATCAAGGACTTGGAAAATATCCCCATCTTCTCCGTTACTGAGGAAGAGGAGGTGCAGAGTTCGGCTGCTCCCCCAGCCGCTGCCTCCTTGGAGGACAAGGCGTCTCCCAGCCAAGAAGATGCTTCTGCCCCAGAAGGGGACAAGGCGTCTCCCAGCCGAGAAGGTGCTTCTGCCCCAGAAGGGGACAAGGCGTCTCCCAGCCGAGAAGGTGCTTCTGCCCCAGAAGGGGACAGTGTGCCCATGGGAATGGGGTCCTGTCTGACGTCCCTGCTCGACCCTGACTCCGAGGACAGGGAGAAGGTACACCCTGACTCCGAGGACAGGGAGAAGGTACACCCTGACTCCGAGGACAGGGAGAAGGTACACCCGGCTGCTGAGCTGGAGGTGCCTCTGGAGATTCTTCCTGGTTTTCCTGATGCTTCAGCCTCGCAATCCACCCCTCTGGTCCAGTGCACAGACGGCAGACCTAGCATCCCAAAAGAGGATGTCCTAGCTGTCCAAGTCAGCCTGACCCCTTCTCTCACCAAGGAAGAGACGGTTCAAGATCTGCCTGCTCAGGCCATTCCAGCCCCTACACAGGAGAAGGTGGTCCAGGACTCAGCCCCCAGCCCCCAGGCCCCTGCTGCTCCATTTTCTATCCCCAGAGTAGTGGTCCAGGGGCCTGATGATGATCTCCCTGTCTCGCCTTCCTTGGTGGATGAGCTTCTCCCCAGTCCAGGAGGCTCCTCCGCCCCTGTGCCAGTGGATGTACAGCCCAGCTTGGGGGACTGGCCGGTCTCCGACTGCCCTGAGAGCAAGATGCTTCAGGAGCCCTCAAGGGAGGAAGAGGAGTTGGTCCTGGCGGCGGACATGGAGTCTTTCCTGGACACTCTGCGGCGCATGGAGCCCCCCGAGATCCTCCGCACTCATCGGCTACCACGTGCCCCTCGCTCCTCCTACCTGACCAGATATGCCACGCTGCCTGCCATTGAGGAAGATCAGCTTGGGCCGTGGGTGCTGGGGCCTGGCCCGCAGGAAGCCCCAGAACTGGAAGAGAAGGAGCAGGAGGAGGAGGTGGAGGAGGAGGAGCCTGAGAACCCCTACCTGAGTGACGATGAGAAGCTGCAGCGCCGGCAAGAGAAAACTGAGCACCAGCAGGAGAAAACCGAGTCCCGGCCGCTCTGGGAGTCCCGCCCTGCGCGGCGCTCTGAGACCTCTTGCTCGCCCCTGGAGATGTTGAAGAAGCACGTGGCCAGTGCCAAGGGTGCCCAGGCAGAGCCGGGGATGGAGTGGCAGGCAGGCAGCAGGCCCACTTCCCGTCTTGGAGGCAGCATCCTTTTTGGTAACTTGGTGCCCACCACCAGAGACACCCCTGCCTTGGAACCGCTGGGCACAAAACTCTCTGCTCTGCCGCCCCACAAAGCCCCAGGGCTCAGGAAGGTGCCAGGACAGCTGCCCCTTCTCTACAATGAAGAGCCCCCGGCTGAGAAGCCTGACAGTGCCCGGCCCCCGGAGGGGTGGGTGAGTGCAACCGTGGATGGGTACACTGGAGGGTGCCTGGGTTTGGATGGCCCTGCGGGCACAGTCTTCAGCGGGACTACTGTGTAAGGGTTGGTGGCCCTGCGTCTCTCTCCCAGTCTCAGCTGCAGGAGTGTTGCACATGGATTCCCAAGGGCTTGGTGGTGCCAATCTCTCAGAATTAGGGGAGAGGAACCCCAGAGCCCCAGCTACTGGGAGAGTGCACAGAGGCCCCTGGGAGTTGGAACAACCATGGCTTCCTCTGTGGGCTGGCTAGGGGAAACTGGAGTGTGTGCGTGTGTGTGTGGGGGGGGGATGCAGGATCTGAGAGCTTGTGAGGAAGCTGCCCCATAACACATTTCATCATCCTCCACTCCAGCACCCAGCACTGAAGACCCAGAGCAAACTGAACACCAGGCCTGGCAAGGTAAGGGAGGGCAAGGGGTGGGGGTGGGGGGCACCAGGAAATGGGGGCTGGGGCTGACTGTTCTCACTGTGCCTCTTCCAGGTCATCCTCTTCTCAGAGGCTGGCTGCCGAGGCAGCAGCAAAGAGGTCTGGGATGATGTGGCTGACGCCTCTTCCTGGGCCCACGTGGCCTCGGTCAGGGTGGTGCGAGGCTGGTGAGTGTGAATGCCCAGGAGTGCCTGCTTGGGACCCAGGGGTGCAGGGCAGGGTGAAGTGCCCGGGCCAACCTGGCAGGAACCCCCTTACCTCCCCAGAGCTCATCTGAGGGTCCATCCTCTCTCTCCCCTCCCCTCCCCCGCACCTCTGTGCCCACAGCTGGGTGCTTTATGAAGAGCCAGAGTTCCAGGGCCAGAAGCTGGTCCTGCCGGAAGGAGAGGTAGAACTCCGGGCCCTGGGCTCAGCGTGGAGGACCCAAGGCATTGGCTCCCTGAGGAGGGCTGTCCGGGTAAGTGGCTATGGCAGACTGGATGCTGCCTCCTCTATCCTGGGCCCCAGGAGGCACTCTCGGGGGCCTGGAGTTGGGGTCTCTATGGTGTGCAGTATCGGGAATGGACCAGGACCTCCCCATGCAAGGCATTGGCATTCCTATATAAAAGGGGTCATATAGGGAAATGGTAGAGGGGTTTTACTGTGACTCACCCTCAGATTCCTCATGTCAGAACCCAATGGGGAAAAAAGCTGGCTTGGGGAAGTGAGGGCAGAGCAGAGACCCAGCCACAAAGAGGGAAGTTGGAGGTGGTGCTGAGGGAGTCCGTTAAAGCAAGAGAAATGGGGTGGAGAGTGTTAGCAGGAGCCCTGCGCCGTGCCTTGCTGGTCCCAGAGTCAAGCAGAGTTGTAGGCTGGGTTTGAAAGAGAGCCATGTAACCAGGCTAGGGATTTATCAGCACCCCCAAGAAGACCAGCAGGAAGCATGGCTTCTAAGCCAGGGGCTTCTCTAAATTTTGAGGGATCCCAATGCATATACAAGAGTATCTGTATATGACAAGTGAGGGGGGCATTGTTTTCTCTAAACCAACTTCAAAACTACTGAAATGAAGCCAGACAGAACCACCAAGCGTTGAGAGAGACCGGAAGAGAAAGCCCTAACTTGGAATCCAGAACCCAATGGGCTTTCCGAGCCATTGTGTGTTTTATTTTTGAATGAAAGGAGGTAGGACCCCAGCGCCACTGCCGTCCTGACAAGAGCGGATGAAAGGTCCTAACTAGGCCAGTGGCCTGGCTGTGCAAAGGAGGGGGACAGGAGTTTTCAAAGCCTCCCCAGAACCACACAAATGCTTGTGGACAATTTATAGCAAGCTCCTTCCAATAAATTCATCTTTGTGTGGGAGGTAACGAGGTACAAGAGAAAAACAGAGGCTTTGAAGTCCCATGGCGTCGATTCGTTTGATTCATTCAGCACCTGCCGGGCGCCTCCTATGTGTTGGATACTGGGGTGCGCGGGGGGCAAGGTCTCTACTGCCTTGTCCTTGCCCGGACACCTCCATGTGTTCCCGTGGGAGCACCTCATGGCGAGGCCTCACTTTCCCAGGCTAGCTAAGTGGGAAGGGACTCCCCCCACCCCCCCTCCCTGGGGGAACAAACTAGACTGGGAGGGTTCGCCGTGTACCAAGCACTCGGTAGACGCTCCATAAACACTCGTTAAAGAGTGAGGCAGCAGAAATGGTCCTAGAGGAAGAAGGGCCTGAATGCTGGGGGAGTCACCTCCTGGAAGGAGGAGCCACAGCGGGAGGACTCGAGGGTAAAGGAAGGGACCCAGGTCAGGCCTCAGGAAGCACCTCAATGGGGCGAGGGGCAGGAGTGATAGTATAGTGGGTAGGATGCTTGCCTTGCATACAGCTGACCTGGGCTCGATCCCCGGCATCCCATATGGTCCCCCGAGCACTGTCAGGAGTGATTCCTGAGTGTAGAGCCAGGAGTAAGCCCTGGGCACAGCTGGGCATGACTTCCCCCCTCCCCCACTCCTACATCCCCCCAAGAAAGGAAGAAAGTGCTTCACCACCAGGCTGGCATCAAACTTGGCACTGACACCAAGTTCCCCAGAGGCGAGGCCAAGGGCAGGGCATTGGCAGCTCTGGTAGGAACTTTGGTCTCAGTCTCAAAGGGTAAGGAAGGATCAGCAAGGTTTGGTTTCGGGCTTATCTGGCAGACCTTGTACAAAAACACCCCAGACACCTGCGTAGTTTCAAGGGAGATGACCTCAGAGCTTTCCCAAAGTCCTCAGGAGCCCCGCTGGGCTGACTGGGGAGCCAGCACAGGTGTGGGGGGCTGTTTCATCCCCGTGTCAATGGTCCACCCCTCTCCTTCTGCAGGACTATCTGACTCCACGGATCAGCCTATACTCTGAGGAGGGCCTCATGGGGGAGCAGGTGATACTCACTGAGACCTTGGAGACCCTCCGGCACCTGGAGAGGCCCCTGAAGGTGGCCTCTGCCTCTGTCGCTGCAGGACTGTGAGTCTGGGCTGTTCTGGAACCTTTTCATTGAGCAGTCACTCTGTGGGCTCCTGGGGACACAGTTCTTCTCAAGAATTGCTGTCAACTTGTAGGGACAGGCAAGTAAACAGTAACAATCGAGTTCCAGGCTGTGGGAGCACAGGAAAGCACTGAATCAGCCTGACATCAGAGAAGCCTTCCTGGAGGAGGAGACATCTCAGCTGGGATGAGTTGGTCCCACAAGGATCTTAGCTCCATGAAGGCAGAATATTTTGTTCACCCTAAGGCATGAAGCTGCCATGACCCCATATATTTTATTTATCCCTAAACACACACACTCACACCACACACACACACACACACACACACACACACACCTATTCTAAAATATTTTAATTGAAGAAACGGAAAAAAATGGTGTATCTAGACCATTTTTTTTTAATCTCTCCAGAGACACTATGCAGAGACAGTACAGTACAGCAGGTAGGGCACTACCTACTAGGTAGCTGACCCAGTTTTATTTATTTATTTGTTCTGACCTGGGTTTGATCTCTGGCACCACCCTAAGTCCTGCCAGCAGTGATCCCTGAGCACAGAGCTAGGAGTAAGCCCTGCTGGGTGTGGCCCAAACCAGACTCCCCAGCAAGTACATTTAGCAGAGGGACCAGCCCCTTACAAAATCTCAGAGGTTTAAGAGAGCAGGTTGAGAGGCCAGCCTGGCCAATGTAAGCAGTAAATTGGGGAGAAATGAGGCCCAGGAGAAGGGGAGGGGCTAAATTAGAGAAGCCCTTTGCGCCGTTGGACTGTCTCATGTAGCTATGACAGAGGGAACCAACTTGTGAAGCAAAGAGAACAAGTATGTCCACTACACAGAACTTTCCTGGATCAGGCCAGAGGAAGAGAAAGTCAACTGCAAGAATTTATGGGTCCAGGGCCTGAGAGATAGTACAGTAGGTAAGGTGCTTGCCTTGCACGTGGCCAACCTGGGTTCAATCCTTGTCATCCCGTATGGTCTCCTAAGCCTGCCAGGAGTAATTCCTGAGTGCAGAGCCAGGAGTAACCCCAGATCATCACCAGGTGTGGCCTCACAACAAAACAAAATAGAATAAAACAAAACAAAAAAGAATTTATAGGCCCAGGGCCAGAGATATTGTACAGTGAGCAGAGTGCTTGCCTTGCATGTCACTGACCTGGGTTCAATCCCTGGCACCCAATAAGGTCTCCAGTGGTCCCCACCAGGAGTGATTCCTGAGTGCAAAGCTAGGAGTAGCCCCTGAATATTGCTAGGTATGAACCAAATAACAAAAACAATAAAGACTACGGAGCCTGACATATCCTTAGAATTCCCTTGTGGGTTTTTCTTCCCCCCAAACCTGCTTCTTTCCTTTAAACACTTCCTTCTATCAATCTGTGTCCCTGGGCATTTGGGGGTACAACAGTCTCTCTGCCTTCCCTCAGATGGCTACTGTACCCCAAACCCTGCTTTGAAGGCACACCCTGCATTCTGGAGCCTGGAGAGTACCCCACCTCGAAGGCATGGGGTGCCTCTGACCACAGCGTGGGCTCCCTGAAGCCCATGACATTGGTAAGAGCACTCATGGGAAAGTAGCTTTGTCCTGTTGTCTGGGGGAAGAGGCAAGACCTGGGAATTCCTACTGGAGATGAGACTGGAGAAGAAGGGCAATGAAGTCAAGGGGTGACGGAGGGAGAGGGGCAGGAGGCCCACCACTTTATAGAGGGTGTCAGGATCAAGTGTTCTCCTGCTCTGTCTTCCTACACCTCTGGGCTGGGTGTCAGCTCTGTCCCTTTTGCAGGGCTGCCCAAGCGTGGAAAAGCCAGGAGAACCCAAGGTAAGAGTCTCTATCTCTGTGTGGGCAGGTGTGTTGGGGCCACACCCTGGGTTGGCTGAGTATGGGTCTAGATCTGTGTGTGTGTGTGTGTGTGTGTGTGTGTGTGTGTGTGTGTGCTTGTATCAATGGGCCACACCCTGGTTTGGCTGAGAATGTTTGGGTCCAGGTCACTGCCACATGCTGACACTCCCTCTTTCCCCAGGCTGTGGTGTATGAGGCCCCGGACTTTCAGGGCCAGAGCTGGGAAGTGAGCAGAGACATCTACAACCTGCGGCAACCAGAGGACAGTCAGAGCCCCCACTTGACTTCTGTGGGGTCCCTGCGAATACTTGGGGGCTGGTGAGGATTGGGGACTTTTCTTTCTGTCTCCTCTTTCTGTTTCTTCTGACTCTTCTTTCTCCCACCGATCCCAGGGTGGGGAGCCCGCTGAGCTGTCCAGGGGGTCTTCTTTCTGACTCCTTTTTCCCCTTCCATCAGCTGGGTGGGCTACGAGAAGGAGGGCTTCCGGGGCCATCAGTACCTGCTGGAGGAGGGAGAATATGCTGATTGGTCGCACTGGGGAGGCTATGACGAGGTGCTGACATCTCTACGGGTCATCCGGACGGTAAGTATGAGCAAAGCTGGGCATTTGGTTGAGGGAAGAATTTGTGTCCCCTCTACCTGGTGTCCCTGAGGTCTATCCTCTCTCCCTCTTGCTACTCATCCCCAGGACACCCTGATCACTATTCCCAAATTTCCCATGTGGGCTGCGTTCTGGGGGTCTGTGTTCTTCATTCTGATCAGTGGGCAGGAGAGACCGGATTGTCTCTGGCTCCAGGACTTTGGGGATCCGGCCGTGGTGCTGTTTGAAGCCATGGACTTCGAGGGGCACAGCGTGGAGGTGAGCGAGGCATTGCCGGACGTGGAACTGGAGGGGCACTGTCCCCACACGCAGGCCATCCATGTGCTCAGTGGCGTGTGAGTGACGGGCTCCCGGGGGCGGATGGGGCGGGCAGGGGGCGGGTGCATTGAAGCGCCGGCCCCGCCCCGCCCCGCTGACCCGCGCCCCGCCCTTCCTGCAGCTGGGTGGCCTATCAGGAAGTGGGGTTCTCCGGGGAGCAGTACGTGCTGGAGAAAGGCGTGTACCGCAACTGCGACGACTGGGGCTCGGGCAACAGCGCCCTCGCCTCGCTGCAGCCAGTCCTGCAGGTAAGCACGGGCTGCAGGGCGGGCCCTCTGGTGAGGGTGGAGCTTAGTGTCGGGGCTACACGAATGGAAGCAGCCGACGGCGAGCTGGGGGCGGGGCCTCGGGGCGTGGGCGGGGCCTTGCCTCGGGGCGGGGTTCAATGAAGAACCGTCTTGGGGTTGGGGTACTGCAAGGAGGCTCATCCATACTATGCATGGAGATCTCTATATTATGGTCTCTCCCTCAGGTCGGGGAACACAATCTACACTATGTCTCGAAGGTAAGTTACTGCTGGCGGCCTGTATCAGCTCTTCCTTTCAAACTTCTCTCCACTTCTTTCCTCTCTGCATCACTAATCGTCCTCTTACTGACATTGCTTTCCACCCCCATCTGCAGATTCAGCTTTTCTCCGGCCCCGATTTCCTGGGCGACCACATCTCCTTCGAGGATGACCAGACCTCTCTGCCTCTCTCCTTCCATCCCCAGTCTTGCCGCGTCCAAGGCGGCAGGTGAGCATCCGAGGGAAGGAGGTTCGGAGAGCAAGGCAGTGGGTACCTGCCTTGATGTGCCTGATTCAGGAGGAGGGATTTATCTTCAAATGGTTTCCTTTCTTACGTATTCAGGCCCAGGCCGGAGCAATAGTATAGTGTTGCACATGGACAACCTAGGTTTGATTCCTGGTGTTCCATGTGGTGTCCTGAGCGCTGCTGAGTGTGGTACCCGAACAAACAAAAAAAAACCATTAAAAAAAAATTAGGTGAACCGGTCACAGTAGTGACATTGATATGCAAAGTCACCTCACCTTTACTACCACAAAAGTGCCCCAGACTCCACACTGTCCTCATGTCACTTCTAATTCACCTCTTTAGTGGAATATTTTAAGTTTCCGTATCAACATCAAATTTCACAGGTAGAGGCAAGAGAGAATCTCAACAGACTGGGGCTCATGCTTTATATGCAGTTCAATCCTCAGCACTGCAGGGCATGCATGGTTCCTCAAGCTCCTCTGGAGGTGACCCCAGCAGTCAGGATTAGCTCTTAAGCACCAAAACAAAAATAAACCACAGCAAAATATTTCACAGGTAAATACTTCAATAGGCGGGGTGGGAGAACATGCTTTACTTGGGATACCATATGGTTCCTGAGTGCTGTCAGGAGTGACTCTTAGTCACCATGCAAGAAGTAGCCCCCAAACACCAATGGGTGTAATTTCAAAACAAAAGCAAACAATGAAAAAAAAATCATTAGGCATCTCTAGTAAGAAAGAATCTTTACCTCCCCATATATTCACAAGGTATAATCTTATCTAATAAGATAAACGGGGGTTAGAGCAATAGTACAGGGGGAAGTGCATTTGCCTTGCACGCGACTGACCTGGGTTCAATACCTGGCATCCCATATGGTGCCCCGAGCCAGGAGTAATTCCTGAGTGCAGAGACAGGAGTAACCCCTGAGCATTTCCAGGTATGACCCAAAAAGCCAATAAATAAATAAAAATAAAATAAACAGTTATGTATTAGTTTTACTAATACCCAGTTCTTGTACAAATTTCTCTCATTATCTTTAAAAATGTCTTTGTGTTGGGACTGGAGAGGTAGTACAAAGGTTAAGGTGCATACTCTGCTTACAGCTGACCCTGATTTAATCCCCAGAAATATGTGGTCCCTTGAGCATCCTGGAGGGAGGGGGCTGGGTAATCCGAGCACTGCAGTAACCAAGCAGCACTGCACCCCTGCATCCTCACATTGAACCCAGACCAGGTTGACTAAAGGACTCCTGAGTTTTCTGAGTACTTCCCCCAATCAAAAGGGGAAAAAAAAGCCCTGTGAAATTGATTGGTTTATTATCATTATTTTGGTTTGGATTCACGCCTGATGGTACTCAGGGATCACTCCTGATCTTAGACCCATTTAGGGTGCCAGGAATTTGTACTAGGGTTCGCCTGTACTAAACTCTGCTCTGTGCTAGCTCTCCAACTCTAGTTAATTTTTCTTCTTTTGGTTATTTTATTTATTTATTTTTGACTTTTTGGGGTTAGAGCAATAGTACAGGGGGAAGTGCATTTGCCTTGCACGCGACTGACCTGGGTTCAATACCTGGCATCCCATATGGTGCCCCGAGCCAGGAGTAATTCCTGAGTGCAGAGATATGCAACCCGGATATGCTCAAGTGTTACTCCTATCTTTGCACTCAGGAATTACTCCTGGCGGTGGTCAGGGGACCATATGGGGTGCCAGCGATCAAACCCAGGTTGGCCATGTGCAAGGCAAATGCCCTCCCTGTAGTACTATTGCTTTGGTCCCTCTTTTGGTAATTTTAGGCCACCTCAGTGATCCTGATTCTCAGGGGCTACTTCCAGTTCTGTGGTTGGGGGTTCTTGGGGGTGTTTGGGGGTGCTTGGGGGACCATGCAGTACCCAGCATCCAACTTGAGCCTCTCACATCTGAAACATATGCTCAGCTTGCTGAACTGCCTCTTCACCAGGAAACTAGCTGGCTTTTTTTCAGAATCCAAACAAGATCCCAATACACGCTGCATGTGACTAATTTGGTTCTTAATCTATCACAGTTCCCATCACTTTCTTTTAGATCTGATTTTATTCTTCTTTTTTTTTTTTTAAGAAACCCAATAATTCACCCTCTAAATTTCCCATCTTCTAGATTGGGCTGATTGGTTCCTGATGGTGTCTTTGTTACTGGGGTCACACTTGACAGTGCTCAGGGCATGAGATGCTATGCTCAGGGCCTCCTGCATACAGAGCGTGTGCTCCAGTTCGTTTGGGCCCTGGCCATATTGACTGTTTTCTTAAGTCTGCCCTCAGTCCCTGCTGCTGCCATGCCTGGCCATGCTTGGTGTCCCCTGGCCTGGAGTCACCATCAAGTCTGTACCCATACTGTGATGGGGGGATGGTCAAGTAGAGGCCCAAACAGGCTCACCTACCCATTGCCTGCTCTGCCCTTCCCCAGCTGGATCCTGTTTGACCAAGACAACTTTGAGGGCGAGCAGCACATCCTCTCCGAGGGCGAGTTCCCCACGCTCACGGCCATGGGCTGCTCTGCCTCCACAGTCCTGGGCTCTCTCCGGAAGGTGCCCCTGGTGAGTGCTCCGTCCAGGGAACCCCAAAGATAGGGCTTTTCATTGCCCAGTATGCTTCAGGGGCTTGGACCCTGTCTTCTTCAGAGCCACCCCAGGTCTCCTGACCCCAGGGGTGCAAAGATACTTCTGCCTCTTGGGGATTTCTTGAGTACTGGTAGTGCTGGGTCCAGGCAACCTGAGCTACCTCAGACATAGTCTGCCTTCAAAGAGCCCAGAGTCAGATTGGCACAAAGGCCAGCACATGCAAAGGTTGTCCAGATGCACAAAGGGGTGCAGGGTCAGGAGGGTGGGTACTTGGGGTGGGCTGGAGAACTGCTGAGGATATAGTTCTGGGCAGGGTCAGTGAGGCAGAACGATGGATCTATGGCAGTGTGGGGATCAGAGGGGGTCTAGGGTGGGGGGGTTGTGCTGTGACATACTCAGTCCCAGTAGATGTGGGGTCCATACCAAGAAGAGCTAGACAGTCCTGAGCCCCTGTTCCTGAGCTGGGACTGTGGAAGCTGCTGGTCAGGTCAGGGGTGCCTAAGTAGTGTGTAGGGTGCAGGGTGTGGGTGGCTCCATGGATGCCCTACAGTTTCCCCTTCTTGCCATCACCCAGGATGTGAACATGTTACATGCATTAAGGGGTTTGGAGTAAGAGAAGTAATGTTATTCACCACAAGGCATCCTTACAATTGTTCTGTTATATTCTTCATTACTTGGTTTTGTTTTAATTTTTTTATTTGACCATAACTGGTGATGTTCAGGGGTTACTCCTGACTCTGAACTCAGGAATTACTCCTGGTGGTGCTTGGGGGACCATATGGGATGTCGGGAATTGAACACAGGTTAGCCGTGTATAAAGCGGGCACCCTACCCGCTGTACGTCTCTCCAGCCCCGACTCTGGTGTTAGTTTCTTTCAGGGCGTCACTTATATCATAGATGTGTGTGCACAGAGAACACTTATGAACAGCTCTAGCCATAGTGTTAGGGATTCTTGGAACGTATCTCCTAAGGGGAAAGGGGACATCTTTGTGGTATTTAATCCTCACCACAACCCTGTTGGATAAGGCGCTGTCATCATCTCCCCATTCCAAAGGTGGAAACAGACAGAGAAGTCATGCCTTTGCCCCAGATGTCACCAGCAGGAATCAGGCAGAGACAGGTTTGCCCAAGGCAGCCACAGTCTGGAGCCCAGGCTCTTTGCAGCTACCAGCCTGGCTCTGTAGAGAAAGCTGACTCCGAATTAGCTTTGGGGCCTTGGCCATGTCATTTACCTTCTCCTGCCTCAGTTTCTTCTCTGACAAGTGGGCAGAATGATGACAGCTTGTTGTTGAGGAGTGATCTAGAGATCAGGTAAAGCCCTGGGCATAGAATGGCAAGGCCCAGATGAGTGGCCAGTGGTCCTTTTCGTGATTGTTTCTACTGTTCTCTGAAGGACCACTTAGTGGGCAGGAGTCCGGAAGTGGCATTGGGCATGCCAGGCTGGCACAGACTGACTTTTAGGATCTGGATGATACCCAACTGTCTATACTCTAGAGTCAGGAGGCATGAGGGACTCAAATATCAGTCTGGCTGTCTGGGATGCCTGGAGCGGGACAGTGTTGTTGGGGGTTCTTGACGCCTCACTGCTTCTCCATGCCCATGGGCCCCCAGCACTTTTCAGAGCCCTCCATCTTCCTGTATGGACTGGAGTGCTTCGAGGGCAAAGAGATCGAGCTCAGCAGGGAGGTGCGAAGCCTGCAAGCAGAGGGCTTCAACAACCACGTGCTGTCAGTGCGGATCAAGGGGGGCAGGTGAGTGGACTTGGGGGAGTAGACTCAGGGGGCGGGGCTGCTGGTGGGCTAGAGGGTATTGGCTTCCAGGCCTTGCTCCCCACCTGCCCTGGGGGCCTCTCCAGGTCTCTTCTCTGCCTCGCAAAACTCACCTCTACCTCCCAGCCTCCTGGTTCCCTCCGGGGACGCCCAGCGAGAGAGCAGAGGAGGTAGGGAATGCTCTGATGTTCATGTCTCTTCCCCCGCCTATCTGTCTGTCTGCTGTTCCGTTCCTGGCTCATCCTGGACCCAGCTGGGTGCTGTGTGAGCACAGCGACTTCCGGGGCCGCCAGTGGCTGGTGAGCAGCTGCGAGATCACCAACTGGCTGACCTACAGCGGGACGCAGAGGGTGGGCTCCCTCTACCCCATCAAGCAGGTGGGTAGGCGTTGGGTTGTGCCTGTCTGGATGGATGTCTGGTTATGTTTCCCAAACACCACATTTGCCTCCTCCTGTGACCATTTTTTTTTTTGCCACGTTATCATTCCTCTTCAATCATTTTTGGACCATACCTAGCAGTGCTCAGGGCTTACTCCTGACTCTGTGCTCAAGGATCACTCCTTAAGGGGTTTGGGGGACTATATAGGGTACTGGGTAAATGACAGGGAATCAAACCTGCATTGCCCTCATGCAAGTGCTTTACTGTCTGTATAATCAGTTCAGCTTTTTTTTTTTTTTTTTTAATTTTGGGCCACACTTGACAATGCTGAAAGTCACATCCAACAGTGCTCTGGGGACCATGTGGTGCTGGAGATCAAGCCTAGGCCTCTGGCATGCAAATGTGCACTCAGTTCATTAAGCTGTCTCTCCAAGCCCTAATATTTTTTTTCGCTATTCATTTTGTTTGTTCTTATTTTTAAGTAATAATACCTATGGATATATCTGTTTCTCCTTAATGGACTTGATAAGAAATACATTACTATGCAATCTCTGAAAACAAGATAATTTATATGCGACTGAAAGCTACAGAGCTGACGGGGCCTGGCTTGGGTAGAGCACCTGCCTGGCATGGAGGTGGCCCTGGATTCCACCCCAGCACAACCAAAGGAAAGAAAGGAACTTATTTCAAGTGGCACCCCCCTCAAAGTGAATACTTCTGCCTGGGAGCCCCGTTTCTGTTTCTTCAAGTGCCATCCCTGTGGGTCTCTGCCTGCACACATGTATGCAGTGTGCACACACACTGATGGGGCAGCTGGGCACAGGGGCCCAGCTGTTCCTGTGCCCGTGGCACTGTGATGTCTTCTGTGTCCTGGTGTCTGTGTGTTCTGGACAGAGAGAGAGCACGCCTGTGAGAATGTGTTTATGGTCACTCACCTGTCTTGATGACTCTTTGTGTGCCCTATAGAAGCAGACTCTTACAGCATGCTGCTAGAAGTAATCTTTCGGTGGTGGGGTGTGTGTGTGGGGTGGGGTGGGGGGAATGTGGGGAGGCATCACCAAACCTCATGTTTTACCGATGGGGAACTAAAGGGCCAGAGACATGGGCAAAGATTTGCTCCGCAATCTTGGGCAGACTGTATCTCCCTGGGTCTCAGTTTCCTCATCTGTACAATGAGCATAGCATGCGTGCTGGAGCTGTATTGAAGGTAGAAGGCCAATTAATCAAGCTCTAAGAACAGAGCTTGAGAGGTTCAGCCCTCAACTGTAATCTGTGGTTTTTGCTATCATTTTTAAATTTCCAGTTGGCTGTGACAGAGTCAGGTCTATGGGTTCCGGGCCAGGCTGACTTTGCCCCCAGGCTTCTGTGGTTAGCTAACAGGAGCCTGATGCCTGCTCAGGTGCGAATACGTGCGTGCCTGCAGCCACCATCTGTGCCGCCTTGTGGATGTTGGGTGTGTCAGTGCTTCTTTGTGGCTGTGGGACAGGGTGACTGAGTGTGTGCTTGGGGTGTGGGTGAGAAAAGGGTGACGTAGAAACAGGGCCAGGGCTGGAGTGATAGCACAGCGGATAGGGTGTTTGCCTTGCACGCAGCCAACCCAGGTTCCCAGCATCCCATTTGGTCCCCTGACCACTGTCAGGAGTAATTCCTGAGTGCATGAGCCAGGAGGAGTAACCCTGCATTGCTGGGTGTGACCCAAAAAGAAAAAAAAAAGCAGGGCCAAGGAAGTCTTCAGGTGGGAAAAAGGGTCTGGGAGCTTGAGGTTGTGGCACATTGAGTGCAGAGAGTGCAGGGGGTCGAGGTGGGAGCACCCCTAGGGGAATCCTGACTCTCACTGCCCCTCCCCCACCAGCGCAGGGCTTATTTCCGCCTGTGGAATGAGGCCCTGGGGGGATTCCTGGCAATGCCGGACCACGTGGAAGATATGAAAGCAGGCCGTGTGGTGGTCTCTGAGCCCCAAGCGGGAGGCAGCTGCATCTGGTACTACGAAGAGGGGCTGCTGAAGAACCAGGTACGAATTTAGGGGCTGCGATGGGAACGGGCCCCAAACCCCATCTGAGCAGCACCCAACTTTGGCCAAAAATTTCGGGTGGTGGATATTTTTCTGTTACTTGTAAAACAGCCTAATTTCTCAGTGGAGTTCACAGGCCTTGTGCCCCTGGCCTTGTGGGTGCTCCCCTGGGCTCAGTTCCCTGTCTGCAAGCAAGAGTACTCATACTCTAACTTGTATTTCCCCTGCGGCACCCGGTCTCATCAGTAATGACCCATGTGGGGCCGGGGAGATTGCGGTGAAGTTAGGGTGAGTGCTGCGCCCGTGCCTGATGTGGGTTATTTCTAACCCCACAGGGCCCCCAGGCATCACTGGGTATACACAGGTCACCCAGCTCTGCAGGGCCTGAACAGCCCCACATCTGCAGACCCTAGCACTGAATCACCAGCCCACTGGGCTACATATTGCCAGGAATGGTCCTGGGGTCCCCTAAGCACCATTTGGGAGGCTCCCTCCAAAAGAATAGGGCAAGAAATATCTCAGCAGGCTGAGGGGTTCTGGGTCATCATATGATTTCTTTTGGCCACACCCAGTAATGCTGGTGCTTAGGACTTACTCCTGCCTCTGCACTCAGGGCACTCCTGAAGGTGCTCAGGGGTCCACATGGGATGCCAGGGATTGAATCTGGGTTGGCCACATGCAAGGCAAATGCCTAGCCTCCTTTACTATCACTCTGGCTCCTGATATTGTCCCCTAAGCACCACTGGGAATAATTCTTAAGCATGAGCTGGGAACAGCCCCTGAGCATTGCTGGGTATAGCTACAAGAAAGCGATTTAAAAAAAATTTTTTTGAAGGGTCACACCCAGGAGTTCTCAAGGCTTTCTCTTGATTCTTTGTTCAGAGATTATTCCTACTGGGGCTCTAGGAACCATATAAAGGTTGAACCTGGGTTGATATTATGCAAGGATTGATCTCATACAAGGATTGAACTTGGGTTGATCTCATGTGTCTTACCGTTATACTATGTCCCTCCGTCATGGAGGGCTTCCTGGAGGAGCTAATATTTTTCTAGTTCGATCCCCACTACCTTATTAGTTCCCCTAAGCTCACCAGGAGTGATCCCTTAGCACAGAGCCAGGAATAAGCCCTGAGCACTGCTGGGTGTGCCCTCCCCCCCAAAATACAAAAGCTGGTGTGTCCAGGGTATGTGGGACCCTGTAGGAAGAAATGGTACCTGATCTGCCCTGGGGCCTCAGATGGCCCCCACCATGAGCCTGCAGGTGATTGGACCTCCCAGCCTGGGCTCCAAGGTGGTTCTGTGGGCTGAGAGCCGTGTGCCCCGCCAGACATGGAGCATCAGTGAGCTGGGCCACATTTGCAGTCAGATGTTCGAGGGCCGGATCCTCGATGTGAAGGGTAAGGTGGGGTTGCACGTGAGAAGCCTTGGGGGGGCTGGGGAGGGGGCCGAGTCCACAGTTCTGACCATCTCCTGATCTCTTGCCCTTTTCCCCAGGTGGCCGGGGCTATGACCGGGATCACGTGGTGCTGTGGGAGCCGACCAAGGACAGGCCATCCCAGATCTGGACTGTCCATGTGCTTTGAACTGTCCCTCAAACCCGCAGCCCCAGAAGCTTTCCTTGGGATAGAATGTTTTTATAGGTTGTTTTGTTGTAACATAAGCTATTTTCTGATATACTCCAGGTTTTTTCGTCTCTGTTCACTTTGATATTTGGGGGTGGCTGAGGATTTTGTTCACCTGCCCTCTTGCCCTATTGGGTTTTCTTCCCGCCGACTTTTTTTTTTTGTCTGGAGCCCAGATGTGAGGCCTTTTTAGGCCACCAGGGGGTGCACCAGGACTAGACACACTGATTTGTGTGGCCCTCTGTTGTCACCCAAATAAATGATCCCCAGAGCCTCTAGAGCTAGGGACTGACCATGGACTAAGGGAGCTCATGTGGGAACAAGCTCATTGGTCCTGGCCCTCAGGGAACTTGGCTCCACGAAGGATCCTGACAGGTAGAGCAACACCGTCAGTGAGAGGTTGCATTGAATGGACGCAGAAGAGGAGTAACCCAAACATTCGGGGTGCTGGGCAGGCCACCTAGAGGAACCCCTGGGACTGGGAAGGAGTCAGCTGCACTTAAGGATGGCAGAAGGAAAGCGTTTTAGGAGTGAAGACAAGTTCCAGGATGAAAGTTTGGAAATTCAGTGAGAAGGGTACTGGGGGTGAGGGATGCCCCAAGGGTCTTGCCCACTTGTGTGCCTCTCAGTTTCCCTCAAGTCTGGCTTTAGGCCTGAGTCAGGATGGGGTGTGGGACCCCCCTTCCCAACTCCGAGAGGCCGCACATAGAAGAGGAGCAGCTCTCTCCTCCCTCCCATTCCCGGTCTAGTCTCAAGGAAGAGGTGAAGGGCCTTCTGTGGGGCTTCGTAAACCGCCCCTCCCTCCCACCCCCCCCCCCCCCCCCCCCCGCAGCCCCAGCATCCCAAGGCAGGAGGACGGTGGCTGTTTATCCTTCCTCTCTTCCCCACCCTGAGGGGAGAGAAGCATATTGCTGCTCTGAGTTTCTTTCTTCTTATACCCCCTGGCTGGAGAAAGTCCGTGAGACCCCCTATAGTGGCGGTCTCTCAGAATCTGTCATTCTAAAAATGCAGATACAGGGGCCAAAAATATGGTACAGTAGGTTCATCGTTTGCCTTGCACACCGTCCATCCCAGTTTGATCCCTGGCATCCCATATGGTCCCCCATCGCCAGGAATAATTCCTGAGTGTAGAGCCTGATGTGGCTCCAACCAACCCCCCAGCCGCACACACACAAATAAAAATTCAGATACAGAGGTGTGGGATTCTGGCCACCCTTCCAAACACCCAGGGACAGGTGAAGGGGCAGGTGAAAGGTGGGCAAGGGGGCAGCTTCAGGGCCTTGGTCCTGGAGGGGGATGGAATGGGGAGCCTTCAGCATTTGGATGTTGGGGCAGGGAAATGGGTGGAGACTCCTCGGGGCCCCTCTTACCCTGAAGGGGGTTTGGAGACACCGCGGTGCTGCTGCAGACCTGGCTTGGGGCCCTGTGATATGTAGTGACCACACACAGGCCCGTGCTCCAAGAACAGACAACTTTATTGACCACAGGCGCTGTCCTGGTCTTCCAGAGCCCCCAACGCTGCCTCTCAACTCCCATCCTCGTCAGCGCCGAGCTGACCCTCTTGAGCAGAATCTCTCCTCAGGCTTGAAATGGACTCAGGCAGGCATCGACCTCAGCTGAGGTAGAAGAGGTGGATGAGGGTGCTGGTCAGGAGAAGGAGGAGGCTGCCTCCGCCCAGTGTGCCGAGGGTGGAGGCCGCATCGTTCCCAGGTTCGACAGTCGAGCTGTTTCTGTTCTCTTCTAAGACCACAGTTTGTATCTGCAAGAAGAGAGGTTGGGCACATTCAGGGCACCTGAAACTCTGCATATTCTCCAGAGACATGTTCTATCTCCTCCACATGAGTCTTCAGTCTGTTCTCGTGTCCTGTGTGGGGACACGGGGTCCCCTTGGGGACCACAACACAGGCAGGACCAGAGGCTGTCCCGGGCTCACCCCTCAGAGCCTTTCTTCCACCGAGGCCAGGCCATGAGCTTCTCCAGTCAGAGCACCTGTGGCCCCAGCCCTTGACATTCCCAGCTGGGCCCTGTGTCCCCGGTGGCTGTCACAGCTCCGGGTGCCCTGAGATGGGGCTGCTGACACCTGGTGAGGTGTGAGTCGTGGGGAAGGGTGTGGGTAAAATGTCTTCCCCTCTGAGGAAATGGCAGCACTCAGACGACTGATGGCTGGGCTCTGCCCTCTGCAGTGCTCAGCTGCTGCCGCTGGCTGCCACACAGCTCCGACCCAGGACCCAGGACGTGGCGGTTCCCTCCCCTTGCCCACTAGAGCCCACACCTTTCTGGAGTGGGACACTTCGACTGCCTTTGTGTCCCCCAACCTAGCAGCACCTTCGCCAGCTGCTTCCCACCCCTCCAGCACTGGGGCAGTCATCTGGGGACCTCTGTCCCCCACCCTCTTGCTGGCTCCTTGTGGACTGTTCGCCTGGCATTCTGGGGCGGTACCTCGGGGCACTGGCACTCTGCAGGTGCTCCCCGGCCTTGGGCTTCTGCTGGGAGCAGCCGTCAAGCAGCCACCCTGAAGGGCTGTAGGGCTGGAGCCTGCCGGAGTCCCAGTGCAGGAGCTGCACTGCCTCTGCAAGTCCACGGGAGAAGGCTCGGGGAGCAGGAACCTGTATTCCCTCCCTCCATACCTGTCTGGGTATCTGGGGCGAGGGTGTTGTGGGGCCTGAGGCACTGCATGTGCTGTTTGGTTTGTTTGAGGCCTCTGAGCTCACTCTTGGTGGTGCTAGGAGGACCAGCCAGTACTTGAGCCCCGGGATCTGGCATGCAAAGCCTGCGCTCAGCCCTTTGAGCCATCCGCTGCCCGGGGAGGCTGCTCTTACCTGAAGCATTAGCAGGAGGCTGATGGTGACCACGATTAAGAAGAGGCCCTTCATCCTGGGAGACTCAGAGGCTGTTGGAGCAGAGCACTAGGCTGTGGGCTGGTTGCTTTTGGCTGTTGTTGAACCATGCGGCAGGGGAAGCTGCTGGGAGGAGAGAGAGGAGGGCTCACGGGGTGGGGTGGGTGCCGCTTCCTTTCCCCAGACCTCAAGCTTGAGAATCCCAACCCTGAGTCAAAAGGGGAACAGAGTTTGTCACCTTAAAATATATTTCTAGCGTAATATATATATGTATATATATGTGCAATCATTCTATGTTTGTCCTCCCTCCCACTCATTTCACTCAGCATGATACTCTCCATGTCTAACCATTTATAAGCAAGTTTTATGACTTCATTTTTCCCCTGGTGGCTGCATAGTGTTCCCCTGTGTAGATATACCATAGTTTTTTCATCCAGTCATCTGTGCTTGGGCTGGCCAGTTGACTAGTTTTCAGAGCCACAGACACAGGGAAATCCTTGGAATGAGTAAAGGTCATGCTTTGGAGAGCAAGTTCCTCTGTGCCAGGAGGGGGAGAGGGAGCAGGCCCAGAGACCCCCACGTGAGGGAGGCAGCTTCCTTAGTCTGCTAACCAGTCTGCCAAACACAGTGTCCTCCCCCTCCACTGTCTTTCTAAGGCAAGGAAGGCTCCTCCATATCCAGAGACTTCCCCCTGTTCCCATACAGATAGGTGATGAAACTTGTACTTAGTCCTGTTTAGTTTTCTCTTCCTTCTCTCACTTAATCTTCTTATGGGAGTGGCAGAGGAGGCCTTACCCAAAATCCTAGATGAGCAGAGGGAGGGTCTTTTTCTTTTCTTTTCTTTTTTTTTTTTACTTTTTGGGTCACATCCGGTGATGCTTAGGCTCTGCCTTCAGAAATTACCCCAGCAGAGCTCGGGGACTATATGGAATGCCGTGGTTTGAATCCGAGTGGGCCGAGTGCAAGGCAAACGTCCTACCAGCAGTACTATCTCTCCAACCCCAAGGGAGGTTGATTTTTTCCTGACCTCCAGCTCTAAGTCCCTGGCAGGGGGTGGATGTGGGACTGGGACTGAGCTGAGTATCAGGGGTGGAATGTGGCAAATGTAGGGAGCAGGAGGGAGCCTGCACTTGGACTCCTTTATTATGGACTAGTCACCCTTGAACTCTTAGATGGAGGTTCTAGAACTGGTCCTTCTGAGCTTCTAACAGCTGCCAACCAGCAAATCAAGAGAGCAGCATGAGACGGGCGGGGAGAGGCAGTATAGACAGATTCCACTTCAGAGACATTGTGGTAGGTGGGCCCCGGGCTCAGAGAAAGGCCTTGGAGTTTAGGGGGCGGTCTCCACAAAAAGAAGGAGCACTGCTCTTAGGAACCAGAAAGCCTCACTTCTGGGGGTGTCCTTTCCCTCCTGGCCACAAGCTTTCTTATGTCCAGGGAGGAGACACGTGGATTATTTCTGAAAACCCAATGTGAAGCTGCCCCTCAGGGCTGGACCCTGAGTGGTCCCTAGGCAGTTCTGGCTCCTCTGCATGTGTACCCCAGCCCTGGAGAACCCTAAGTTGCTTCTCCTTTCCCTATTTTGTGTCTTATTTGCATGAAAGCCAAGAAGTAAGAAGGAAGCAGCAGTAGGCTGGGGGACCATGGGGGAGGTAGAGGAGAGGGAGAGCCCCTCACAGCCACCCCCTTTCTTCTGGGCCCTCCTGAGCCTTTCACTCAAGTTTCAGCTGCCTCTCTGGGCCACCTGTGGGCGGATAGTGTTGGGTGGATGAGGGTATGTGAGTTGGGGTGCCGGCAGGTGCTGGAAGGGCACTGGCCCAGGACACTGTAGTGCTGGGAGTTCAGGACTGCTCTGCCAGTACCCCCAGGTAGTCGTTAATAATCTTAGAAGAGGCAAGAGAGGACTGAGAGATGGCTCAAAGGGCAGAGCTCAGGCTTTGCATGTGGGAGGTGGGCCTAAGTTCCCCATACTGCATGGTCCCCTGAGCTGCGAGTGATCCCCCCCTTCCCAACCAAGCACTGAGCCTCAAGGAGTCCTTGAGCACCACCAGCTGTGGCCTCAAAACCAGAAGAACAAAAGGCAACTGGGCCCCCTAAGCTCTGGGGTGGGGCCCTTCCTGCCCCATGATGAGGCGTGGGCAGCACATGTAAATGTGGCTCTTTTGTAGAAGTGCCTGGGATTCTCCCACCCGCATATCAAGAACTAAGAGCCTCACCCCTTTTCCTCTTCTGCCTTCTGAGCAAATCACTCTGTCTTGACAATACGTGGATAGTCAAAAAACACCAGCCACAAAGGAGAAAGAGGCAGAGAAACTTCTCTGATGGGCAGACAGAAGGTCTGAGGTTAGGCTGGAGAGGAACCAGCATGTATCTCAGCTGCAGTGTCCTACGGCAACCCCTCAGGCCCGACTTCTGAACTCTCCTCAGCAAGCTAGGTAATCTCCGGTCACACTCTACACTGTCCCTAGGAGTCATAAGGGAGTTTGAAACTCCTCCCCAGGTCGTCCTCCCACTCTTTTTTAGGTTCGGTTGTAGCCCCTTTCCCATGCCCATATAGCCTCCACCCAACTGTTATCTCCCTGGTTTTTACAGTTCATGTATTTTTTTCTGCAAAGAAAGCCCCCTCCAATTACTTTATCTGACAAACTCTTACCTGCTTTTCAAGACTCAGCTTAGAAGCCCCTTCCCACGAAAAATTTGCACCAGGAAACTCCTTCAGAAGAGGAATTTGTGCCTCCACATTCCAAGAGCTCCTTCTTACTGACATCTGGTTTACAGATGTAAGACAGGACTAAGGAAAAAGGCTGAACCACCTGCAAGCAAGAAAAGTGAATTCTAACTGCCCAACTCAACAGTCTTGGGCAACTGCCATTCTCCATATCTGCTGGGCCAGATGTGTGAGAAGCCCTCTCCCCATCTTTTTTCTGTTAACCAGAACAAGGGACTCTCCCAGCTCCTTTGGGTTCTCATCTTGTTCTCTTGATGTCTGCTCAGCAGTTTTTTTTTCTTTTTTTTTTGGGGGGGGGTCACACTTGGCGATGCTCAGGGGTTACTCCTGGCTCATACACTCAGGAATTACTCCTGGCAGTGCTCAGGGGAACATATGGGTTGCTGGGGCTCGAACCTGGATCGGCCGCGTGAAAGGCAAATGTCCTACCCACTGTGCTATCGCTCTGGCTCCTCAGCAGTTATTTTAGATCTTTTTCAAAGAGTCCAGCCTGGTTTCTGGCAGCCTAACACAAGATTGTGTATGCCTATTCCCTCAGAGGGTTACTAGGTCTGGTCACTCTCTAAGCTAGCACAGCACAGAGCACAAAGTGAGTGGTAGTGTATCCAAAATGAATGATGCCCCCACTGCCAAACCTCACTTACCTGCATCCAGTCAGTTCATTAATACAATTCTTTCCCCAGATTTTAGACCATGCCCAGCTCTGCAAGGGTTTATTCCTGGTATGCTCAGAATTTACTCCTGGCTTTACACTCGGGGTTCACTCCTGGTGGGAGACCATATGGGGTGCTGGGGTGACATCAGGTCAAGTGCCCTACCCACTTTAATAATGAACACTATTGCCCCATAAATACTTTTTATTGATTTGGTTTTGGGACCATCCCCAGCAGTGATCAGGGGCAACTCCATGCTACATATTCAGGGATCACTACCAGCCATGTTGAGGGACTATGTGGTACTAGGAATTGAACCATGCGTTTGACATGCAAAGCATGTGGTCAGCCCTTTGAGCTACCTCCCTGACAGAATCAATACTCTTCAGCAGGGTAACAGCAGGCTAAGAGTTGGAGTGTGACCACTGCAGAAGAGAGATGAGCTTTCACTTGAGACAGCTTTTCCTTAAAAATATTTGTTACGGACGCAACCCAGAGATGCCTCCAGACCCTGCACCAGGCTCTCATCCAGGGCAATTTGCAGGTGGGCAGGTGAGTTCTCCTCCCTGCCCCAACAGAGTCCTGGCAGCCAAAAACCTCCACAACTCAGTCACCGCCATGCTCACAGCCGCTCTCCACAGGCTCAGATGAGCCTCACCCATGAATGAATCTGCTGTAGAATTCCTGGAGCACACGGCCGTTTTTGCTGCCATAGGACATCTCATACTCTATACCACTGATGTACTAAGAGTAGCATATCACATTTGATGGGGTTTAAAGTACAAGGCAATATAACAGTCTTTACACACTTTCCTCTATACAAAATTATTTTGATTCTGCTTCGGGATTTGGGGTGGAAACATTTGAAATATGGTAGTGGGAAGGTGGCTGGGATTAGTATTTGAGTATTAAATGTAATAAATCATTGTGAACGACTTTATAAAAAAAATTTTTTAAAGCATTTGTTACTTCCACTAGAGTCAACTGAGGAATGGAAATGTTTTCTGTAAATTTATGAAGCTATGAATGGAAAAAAATCTATAGTTCAAGACTCTCTAAGAAAGGGGAATCCAAAGGTCAGAAAAATAGTAAAGCTGCTGGGGCACTTGGCTTGTACATGACTGACTGAGGTTCAACCCCCAGAACCACTCATGGTACGCTGAGTGCGGCTAGGACTGATCCTTGAGTGCAGAGCCAGGAGTAAAGTAAGCCCTGAGCACTGCTGGGTATGGCCCCCAAACAAAGCACAAACAGGAAAGAAAAAAAGAGAGGGGGTGGGAGGGAGAGAGAGAGAGAGAGAGAGAGAACAGGAAGGAAGGAAAAAAAAGAAGACAAAGAAAGGGAAAGAGGAGCCCTGGAAAATCTACTCTGTTCCACATTAGACTGTGGGTTGGGACCAAGGATTATACTTGAGTAGAGAGGAAACAATCATTTCATTTTTGTTTTTGTGAGGATTTGAGCTCATTTGGAAGTGCTCAGGGCTTATTGCTGCTGGCCTTGTGCCCAGGGTCACTCCTGGTGGTGCTTAGAGAACCACAGGTGGTGTCAAGAATTGAACCAGGTAGATCATGTACAAAGCAAGAGTCTTAACCCCTGTACTATCTCTCTGGCCCTCCCTCCTCACAGAAATTGAAGCCAAAATGACAAAAACTAAAAAAAGTAAAAGGTAGTAGAAAAAAATTACTTACATAAAAGATCCAAATAACTATGTATCTCATGATAGTTCAATTTAAAAAAATTTAAAACCAGATAATGGAATTGTCAATAGAACTTTTAAATAGAATGCTTTTAACTAGAAACTTTTAAATAGAAAGTCCCCAATATTAT